CGACGCTTGTAGTGAATATGACTATTGCGAGAGCAATATGCTTTGTGTCGGGGACGTAAGTGATTGTGCGCCATCAATGATGCTGATTTGCGTAGTGTGATGTCATTCCTTGATGTGTGGTAAATTGTTGGAATAATACTCATTTTTACTGATCCCCGCTTCACTTGGTATATTACTAAATATATAATGGCGGTTTTTTTGTGTGGTATATCATTTGAATTTTATTCCTAGAAGCGATTTGAATTTGTAGTCTGCTGCGAGCTCATTGGGTTGATTCGACCTCCATTTTATTACGTGAAGGTGAAGGGCGACCTTGGTGTGGTGAGCCGGGTTTTGTCGGATATTTTTGTTTTCCTAAAAGGAATCTTTATGATTTTGCCTATGTAATGAATTGGTAGTCTCATTAGTTGGGGAGAAAACGGAGGGCCCTGTTACTACTTTGTGCTTTGAAGGTATTGGATTAGACACTGTTTTGATGCAAGCTCGTTTGAGAAAATACGGCATTGGATATTTCTAGTTCAGCAGTTTCTTGGACGCAAAAAGGCAACCTTTAAAGAAATCCAGTACATGGTTGGAACATTTTATTTCGCTTGTACTGTTGTCACCTCGGGAAGAGCCTTTTTAAGGTTAATTTGACTTCAGGCTTAACTCATCATCGCCGTATTTAATTAGACTTACTTGTTTGGCAAGATTTCCAGCTGCACTTCAATGCAGATGCAGCTGTATCTACTGGTTTTAGGGCATTGGCTCACATTAGTTTTATTGAAGACACGCCAAATAATTGTATACACAACATAACAATTTTGGAATTGTAATGGCAATTGAGATCTGAGGTGAGCTTATGTCTAACCAGGCAATTTTGTTTTTCTATCAGACAATGCTGCAGTGGTGCATATAATAAACAAACATTCAAGTAAAGATGAGGACATTATGGGTCTTGTTAGAAGAATGGTATTAGTTTGTCTCCGACGCAACATCAGGTTTGAGGCAAAACGCGTTTCGGGAAAATATCAGGTCAACAAATTTCAACAGCTGGCACCAGGGGCGGATCAGTGGCCAATCCCTATTCCAAACGATACTGGGAGAAGTTCAGTGGTATATGACGAAACTACTGACGTCTGCATTTCCCCTTATTCTTATAAACGATCTTGGCTGCCGTTCTATCTCAAGCATTACACAGGAATTTTAACTTTGCCAGTCAGCGAGTCTTTGATAGACATGTTTTTTTCTCAACAAATACAATCACCACAACTGCGTCAGCAATTAGTTATTAACAGCCATGCGCAAACAAACGCCGGCTATAGATAGGCGTTTACCAATATCACGTTCCATTTTGCATGCCCTTGTTGACTTCCTATAACCATCTGTTATTTAAAGCACTAGTTCATGTTCTATGCATGTACACGCATTGGGGAGGTAACTTTTACTACCAAAGTTAATGTTTCACACATCTTGCAATTACACGACATTGCCATTGTAATACTCTGTATATAGTTTTTTGAAAGTAACTTTCACCAAATACAAGCATGGCTATGCCCCTCAGGTCGTTATTATTGGTTGTCAACGGGTATTTTACTGTCCAATTGCAGTAGTCAATTTTGTGGCTGTTAGGGGGCAAAAACCTGGGCCGCTGTTCTGTATGCCTGATCAACAGCCTGTAATATGTGATTACTTTATGCTTAAATTCAATGCAGGGCTACATTTTTGTGGCTTAAACCCCCAGTATTATAAGGGTCATAGTTTCCGTATAGAAGCTGTATCAGAGCATGGAGCTCCATGATCAGAGGCAGCAATTTCTAGCTTGTTTTTTTGGTTTTTTGACTAGCTACTAACATGCGCAGTAGTTGTTTTCCTATATCATGGTTGGGCCAGCATGGGCAGCCCGTACCATCAACCTTGGGTGTTAAGTATCTCCTCATTGTTGCATAAAATGCTTTCTACATAGTTTTCGTGTGGGACTGACACAAGGTGTTTCTGGTGGCCCCACAATCATGGACGTTAACTTTGTCATTTCTTCAACAAACTTGATTAGCTATTTTTAGTCAAGAGTTAAGGATTTTAGGGTAAGGGGATATGTTACGTTGTACTCAAGATTTTTAATAACTTTTATTCAAACAATTTCTTCACTTTACCCAATTGGTCCAAGTTAGGCGAACCCAGTTGTGGTCCCTTTTCAGCCAAATAGAACAGTATTGGTTAAAAGGAAATGTCCACCAGTCTGCCACATTGTTTCCGATCAAAGTTACGTGTAACGAGGTCCTAAGATGACCAATGGTTATATTGACTATTGAAACAAATGTATGTAAATGTGTGTGATATCATGGACCCTTAATGAAAGTCGTATATTATAAGTTTTATCACAAAACGTTTTCCTTTTGGCAATGTTGATTACTATACAAATGTAAAAGCATCCCAGGATGTATGAGTGTCTGATCAGTTCAGAAATAACAATATAAATCTAAATAAAACAGAATGTTGACGGTTTTGAATGTGATGTATAAGTCGAATGTACAATCTGATGCAAAGATATTTAGACGTACCCCTAATATCAATCACATGAACACAATCTGTAAACACTCGACTGAGGTTCCGTTTCGAATTTCTATAATTACTTGATTTAGTTATTAGTAGTAAAATTACCGTCTTTCCAACAGTATTGAATGTCAACATAAATACGGGTGTATATATGTATATGTAATATGAATGTGCGTGTGGTTAAAGTGGGGGAGTCGTCACCTACGCACGCGTCAGATGGCCGTAGCGTGTCATTGTTTACAAACAAGCGTCTTCCCATGAGCCTTTGTGTTTTTAGCGTGTGTTGTTATCGTCGCCTTGGACTCAATTCCCCCGCGTGCGCGGGTGGCGACCCCTCCCGCTTTAAGATATTAAACATTGTTACTGGTTAATTTCATTTCTGAAAATGAGGTATACAGTTATGTGATTTTAATAGAACACATTTTTAACCAGTTTATTGTAAACAAAATAAAACGAAACAACCATCTCACTTATATTGCAGTTCATCTACTGGATTCAAACGTATTTGAGAATACTATTTGATTGATGTGTGACAAAAATGACCCTACATAATTAATTATACTACATTTTAAAACAATTTGTTGTCAAAGTGGTATGGTGCAACACATGTTTAATTTGCAGAAATTAATTATATGACATACATGGCCTGGAATGTCCTGTGTGACAATTAATAGCCTAATATGCAAATTAACTGTGTTATTCAATTCGAAACAATTTTCCAACAAAATATTTATTTCTGTTAGCAAATTAGATTGCATAATAATCATCTATTTTCACGAACAGCAGTATGTAATTATGCAATCCGTTTCAGTCAGCTGTTAGGGTGAAACAAAACATGATGAAAAAAATACTTCATGTTCATTGAGTCATAAAAGCAACAGTCATGTTCAAAGTGACAATTTTAGAGAACTACAATCTGATGAAAATCTAATTCATAAGAATCTAAATATTATGTTTCCATGTTGTAATTACTGTTTTACCCAATGTAAGGGTTTCTATTGCCATTATTGTGCCATTAAGATTCCATCAGTTATCGCATTTACGCCCTCCCAAACATTTCGCAAAAATCAGATGTTCACATATTTTGACGTAGACGTCGATACAACCAATAATAAATAAATACAATCTGAAAGCCAACTGAGCCATCGTTGACCAAAAAATAACAATGTCTCTGTCGCCTTACCCCCGATCTTACATAGTGCATGGCATCTCTGTCACTGCATTGTAGTAATGTTTTATGGGGGTTCTGTCATCAGTTGGCTTTCGAATCTCACTGGCGCCGTCTTGTCTTCACGCCCACTCTGGGCAATTCTATATAACAGTTCTTCCACCCCAAACTTCAAAACGAGGAACAAAGACACGCGTTGATATTCAAATCCATGATTTAAATTCCAAGGATTTTAGCACACGTAGCAATGACGACAAAATAAATGCCATTTAAATCTTAATTTATTTATTTGCCACGTTCGATCGTATGTGTATGTAATTAGGGGAGCCAACCACTACAAGTATGTACAGTACAAGTATG